AAGAAAAGAAAATTCTCAAAATAAACTTATGAAGAAAATTATATATTATCAACAAAGAAGCGCTTCCAAATACATTAGAAAAGTAATAAACATTCCATCAATTTATTGCTTATAACACTCCAATGGCCTTTTGAAAATGACCATATGTTGTTGTTTTGATAACTTATATTATATTTTTCATTGTTTTAATTTTATGTGTGGAATTCTTTATATCAAATGCATCTAATAATTATCCATAATTTATAATATATTTATATTTTGTTGATATGTTCAGTTTAATTTTATTTCTTAATCAGTTCACTTAAACATGAACTATTTTCAAAAAAATAATTTATATATTTATAAGATTTTATTATGATATTTTTAAAGCACTGTGAAGACTTGGTTTAACATGATAAAAAAAAACCCCTACTACAAAAAAACAGATTAAGGCCAACTCAAACAAATGTGAATAAAGTTAAGAAATTAAATAAGAATGATTTATATATAAGGTTTCGTTGATTAATGAAAGAATACGTTAGGGTTTGGATTACGAAAGCACTGTTCTGTGAACGGAGCTGTTGTCTTTGGAAAAATGTATAGACGACATATCCTGGCACTTGTGTTGTTTTTAATTTTGTCTTTGGCTCGACAATCATTGGGGCATTAACTACTTTTATAATTGGCTTAGTTAACTTTAACTACTATGAGCATGATTGAAGTCATAAACAAATATAGTTACGTTTTTGTTTGATTTTTAGTATCGCAGATAAAACCATGGTTGTTATTATTTTTATTAATATGAGACGATTAAAATATTGTATGCGCCCGAAAGGCTCTTAATCATTTGATAATGAATGCTCAAACACTCTTTATAGACGTCATGTTTGAATCCAAAATCTTTATAAGTAACAATTATCTCTTTAATCATTAAGTCACTAAAGTTGTTTGGTTTGTGAAAAACCATAAATGTTATAAATAATCATTAACAAGAAGAATTCAAGTCTTCTGTCATTGGCGAATTTTAAAGATTTATATTGAAAATTTTAAAGATGTTGAATGGTTTGATTTAAAATTCTAATAAATTAAGGGTCTGTCTAAAATTTATATATGATGATCAGAAACATACATTTAAAATATAATAAAATGACAAATATATAATGATCGTATTCTGCTAAATTTTTGTTTTCAAATTGCAAAACTCAATTATTATCCATATAGAATAATAATCGTAGCAAAACACAGTTTTTAACAACATAATTATTATCAGTCTTGAAAGTTAAGTAAAATAAATTAAGAATAAAACAGGAAAGTAAAAACTCATTGTTGAATTTTGTAGCAAACTAAAACATAAGCCAAAAATTGTCCGGCAATTAGTTAATTTCTATCCTTGAAGCCTAAAAATCTTCGGGGGAAAAATCTCTATTTTTTTCAATTTCATTTCCATTGTTGAATTAACATATACACACACACAAGAAGAAGAAGAAGAAGCATATTCGATTTCAAGAAGAATCAACCATTTATATACATTTCTATTTTGTTACAATGAAATATTGTGTGATTTTAAAAGTTATTCAATAAATAATTTATCATGTACTTATTGGTTCCGTCTTCAAATCTTAAGTAAGTTGTGACACTAATTTAATAACCAAGCTATTTTCATATATAATATTAAAAAAAATACTATGAGAGTTATGATTTGTGTAAATAAATCTTGAAACATATATACAGATATGAGAGTTTCAATTATATATATCAAATTAGACTTTGCCACAACGGTTCGTCATCTCGTTTAATTCAAAGTACAAAGTTTGTACTTTCTTCCTTCATATGTGCATTTTCCTTTGTATTTCTTCAATTGTAATCTTTTTTTATTTCTCGAACGACATGCAAATAATTAAAAAAAATTACTTAGCCTGATTTTGCCGACTTTGCCTTAATTTTGGAGTGGAATTTCGAGACATTTCCCAGTAGCCAGCAAGCGAATGCGTAGGGCTTAAATTTTTGTAAGATTGTTAATGTTAATTAGAAAATCAAGCATTCGTAAATAAATGCAAATTGCAACAAAGTCGATAGCGAAACCTCTAATTAACTTAATCGTTTAACTAATTAAACTATATAGTTAGACTAATATTATAAGTTCAAGCTTCTTCTTTTTTCATGTCAGCAGACTATTCCTTTGTCTTCCACGTGGAGCGATAATTTCAAGGTAATATTGTCTCTTTATTTTTATAATACGATTGCAGTTCCCCTTTAAAAAAATAAAAACTCTCGTTGTCAGTGATCAATGAGTAAAATTTTAAACCTTAATTAAGGTTATTAAATTTAACCATATGATTATGTAGTATATATGTTGGATAGATTCTAAAAGTTACTGAGTTTTAGAAGTTAAAAGTAAAATCTCTCTAGCGATAAGTATTGGGGGACTGTTAAAATATGCTTAAGCACATGATTATCTTATATTACAAGTTTAGTATTAATGTGCTTTCGAAGTGTGGGTGATTAGGCCTGAGTCACTGATGAGTACGTTGGGACATAAATTAATGGGTAACTAGAGGTGTAAAATGGGGGCTCTGATGGAAATATAATTTGTCTTTGCTTTAAGAGAATCGAACCATTTTTTTAATAGATATTTGATCTTTAACTAATTAGAAAAGAAAAAAAGAGGTCTTTCATGGGGTTTTGTAAGCAACATTTAGGGATTAAATTATGTTAATTAGACTGTTTTTTAGCGGTAAAGAAATGGACAAATTGGAAGGGAAAGGAACCAAATTGATGGCTGTTGATAGTAGTGTTTCTCCTTTGGTGGGCTTTGTTTTGGATGTCTAGTGCAATGAATTTTTCACCTTTACCTGGCCCTTTCTAAATATACTAGCTATGTTAATTACGTATGCACCACCCTATGATCGTTTTAATATGATCTGAGACGGAACTAGGATCAAATGTTAAGAACTAAAATTATTTTAAATTTAAAGAATAAAAATCTATTAAGTATTTAAATCTCACTACCAAATGCCGTAAAACAAAATTTATATATTCATTACGTTGTATGAATGGATAGCAGGCTTTACCACAAATTGCGAACGCCAATCAACAAACAAATGCACAATGCATATGTACCCTCAAAAGTATATTAGAAAAAGGGTTGGAATTTCTTTTCCAATATATAAAGTGCCTCCCAAGGTGTATGACTATATGTTCTTGCGGATATTTCTCAGTCTTGACTACCAACAGATGATCCTCCTTGCTTTAGGGAGATGGAGATGCCTCTGGCTGCTGTGACCTGAATCTCCCCTCTTGACAATCCTCTCTAGTTCCCTCACCTTCCCTGACAGCAACCCAACTTGTGTCGGTCCACTGAACCAACTTGTTTGCAGTTTCCAGAGCAGTGCATAGCTGGAATAACCAAAGGGCTGTGTGTTAACGGTTACAATAGTCTGACTCTTCAGTTTTTCAAACTTTCCACATCCACATCAGAAACATATCCACGAAAAAATGTAACACAATTGAAAATACTCGTGTCAGTCACGTTTGAGTTCGAGCAACATAGGTTAAAGTAGCTTCTTGAATAGATATTATTAAAACAAACTGAGAAGGCGGGATGCTTGAACAGTGCTAAAATCAAAGAATTGATGCCCAAATGGAAGAAATGTTTCTAGTTAAAGCAACAAGTAAAATTGCAACCCCTAACAGATTTCCGTACGCATATGTACTCGAGCTAAAGCATGAACAAGTTGCAACAGAAACAATTGAAAATAATCAATGGCAAGTTGTTCTACATATGCTTTCCAACACGAACAATTGCAAGCAATCAAATCGAAAACTGTTCTATAATTGCTTTAAAAGAGATTATCTAAATTACCTCTAAAGTTAGAGATGTCCATGAATGATCTGAACCCGTGAGTGCCTCATCCAATTTCTCCAAGTTTTCCTGAATGAAACCACGAAGCAATTGACATGACAAAGAAACAACCTTTCCGGGGGGGGGGGGGGGGGGGACATATGGAATGCGCTCAATTCAGCATTTACCGGCACAAATCATGAAGATATATGAGCTATCCCATATGATAATCAAAGCTACAAAAGTAGATAAAATCAAATTACAAGGAAGTAATGGACAACAAAACTTGGTTGCATAATCGTGTTTGAACTGAAATGGCCAATGCTTTGACACATGGGTGAGTATACGAGGAGAAAATGTTAAGGGGAGGATCAAAAATAAGAAAAACTACTGAAACAGTTGTAACATATTAAAGGAAGAGAAAATACCCTAATTTATTTTTAGTAATTTTCCCTCTGGAAGTCGGACATTGAAAGGTTTACTTTAGATTCCGAAGCCTTGGATCAATTGCTAAAGTTTTTAGACATTTTCAACTACTCAACTTGATTCAAGCAATATAATTTTTCTAGAACAAAGCATAAAAATATACACAAAAAAAAAAAGGAATTAAAAGCTTTTCTAATTTGCGATTTTTACTATGGCCCTGTGAATATCAAGGAACAAGAAAGGAACCAGGAAGAGTTCGATGAGAAGAGGCGCTGGCATCACGGTGGTGATGGTGTTCTGGTGCTTCACCGGATTCTTCCCCAACGTCGCTAAACAGATCCCCCACGGTTAGCAAAGGCACTCCGATTCCTCTCAAAGCTTTCGTTTTCTTTTTTTTTTCTTTTTGATTCTGTGCTCCTCTGCAGCTAGCTCACTCTCATAGTCGGGTGAAATGTTTCGCCATATTTTATGGGATTAAATCAACAGACTTTCAACCTACTAACGGCCCCATTAAAATTTACATCTGTAAAGGGCCTGCAGAGCAGCAAGAGGAAAACACTGTTTTTTCGTCATATTTCAAATCGCCCTTGAAATGCCAGCTTTGATTCTATGTTTCCCTTCTCTATGATGCGTTTATGCCGCTGTATTTAATCACTTGAAGATTGCCTCCAGTACAATTTAATGTTTAGCTTTGCATTCATCATCCATGGCAATTGGCAAGCACGTATGGAATTAGAACATTTAATCCCCGTATTCAAACATTCAATTCATTACAAGGGCGATTTTTAAAACAAGGAGTTGAAACAGATAGCATTTCAAATCTCCCATTTTCTATATCAAGGCTGGCATTTACAGCAACTTTAAACTTCAATGGACTGTTTTTTCCATGCTGCAACAACATTTTAAGAACAACTAACCAAATTTGAAAAACATTTATGCTTTTTAGGTTCTGCCTACTTTCCTGCCTCCGATGTGCATCTGATGAGCAATACTCCGCATGACTTGTCCCTGCAGCTTTCGGAGGATCGTGGGTTCTTGTGCCACAACCCCGCTGACTGTTCTTGGCAACAGAATCCGGATTGAGGGTTTTATCGCACTTAGTCTCTTTATAGCACAAGAAAACTCTTTCGGCCTTGATGTTTCCGAACAATTTCTCTGCAGCATTGTTTTTTACCAGTGCCGGCATGTGTTCATATTCATCCCATAAATATAACTGCAATCAAAGACGAGAATTATAATTTCAGAAAAAAAAAATCCAAAGAAAAGTAAATGCTAAAAAGCAATCCTTATGATAACTTGACGATGTGGAAAAAAACCAAAGTCAAAGATGCAGGTAATGAATAAATTCAATGCTGTCTTCCCACTATTGTAAAAATGAAACTCACAGATGCATAAAGAATGAATTAAAAAAATGCTGATAAACCTTAAACCATTTCCTAGAACTGGGGAAAGTGAACAACAAAACTGATAAAGAAAGAAAAACAACTAGTTGGTTTAGCGATTGGGTTGGAAGGGTCACCTCCATAACTCTATAGAAACCAATCTGAATCAGTCGGTCAATGGGTTGGATACAAGTGGATAAACCCAAAAAAAAGCAACTATGCCAAGTGACCCAAGACTTGTGCACACGCTTTACAAAAGAAATGCAAATATAGATTTAGAGTTTAGTTTTAACTATACGTGAAATCACCCATCCAAGAAACCAACGCAAAAGACATATATATATATATGACCATTGACCATAAATGGATAGGTAACTAAGGTTGTAAAGAACTCTGCAGAGTAAAGCACAGGGAAATATGAAACAGAATTATATGTTCAACAGGCTTCGGATTCTTGAAATAAAAAATGAAGTTGCAAACTAGACTACATATATTTGCAGAAATAAAGTTCAAATTACATTATTTGCAACTTTGGTTTGCAAATGCTGAAATAATCATCCAAGTCATATGCATCATTCTAAACAATTACCTTTTTATGAGCAGATGAAGATATATTTCCAAATAATATGCAAACGATAGATAGTTCCACCCTTTGAGTGATATACGATGATCAGCCAAATAAGTTCAAGAAGTGATCAATACCATAAAAGGCCTATATATCAAGCTGACTGCATGAAGGCGATCTGAGCTTTTCTCACAATAGAGTGGAACCCTCCCAACTATAGATCTGCTAGAAAGTAGAGAGACATTGAAATTCTATCCATTCATACTATTAAAAGCCACGTAAGAAAAATTGAGGATATTTACCATACCCTTGCTCTTGATGCAAAGGAGAACCACATAGCCGGCAACCAGTGCATATAAGATCTTCAGCTAAACTATTGCTTGCTGATGTACATAGTCTCCTGCTAATAAACATATTTTCATTCTCAGACTCTCCAATGCGCCTCCAAGTAATCGGCAGAAAAATCTCTCCAACAGAAGCACTAAATATTGCCTTACAGTGACTGTTCAGGCACAAAACCTCTGAAAGTGAGGGACATTCTCTCAATTTATTCGGTTCTGGAACTTTCCAGTTTCTGGATAGCCGCCTCTTCTGAAGTGAAATAAAACATATAATTCAAAACATTAAGAACAAATTTAGTCAAACATGGATTAAACAAGAGCAATATGCTAGAACCTATAGACCAAAAAGATAAATAAGCAAAGGGAAAAGGCATGATAATCTAATTTGGTACACTTCATCAGCTGAGTTTTAAAAACGAGCAAGAAATTTATCACACAGCAAACAAATTCAATAACAAGATACATAAAATAGGGCAAACATTCACTTCTATTCAAGTATGAGCAATTTTAGCTAGACTACATAATTCACAAGAAGACACCTAAAAATATATGATAATGAAAGGTAGATTACCAAAATTGAAGATCATGATGAAAGGGTTATTTTCAAATTCCAAGTTTTTCAAACAGCAAGTTCTAGAAAAACATGAAACTTTAGTATAAAATATAAAAAAGAGGAAAGAATACTTGGCGATCATACGGGTCAACATTCTCAATAGCATAATATCCGGTCCTCTGCACCCATTCTATAACCTTGGAAAGCTTTTCTTTGACCTCTATCCCCATTCTACACTCTGCTACTAATTCAGTTGCACCTACAACAAAGTATGAACATAAGACTCCATTTAGTTAATGAGCTTCTATTGTTTAATAACTGAACTCAAACTTCTAATATATATATATGCATAAAAGACCATTATATTGAAACATGAAACTTATGTTACTTTGATTTGGAGGTGAGTATCAAATAAGCATGTGTGACATGGTTATGCTCAACTTTTTAAATGTGTTTCTCCTATAAACATCACAAAAACTTGAATTTCAGTCATACTCTTTGAAACAAGGGACTGGCAAGGGTGGACCAGACGGAGTAAAGATGCCAGTCATCACTTCTGGCCTCGAAAACATCTCGGAATTTTGTAATCTTGAGATCTGACATTAAAGCACAAATATAGTATCACCAATTTAAACGGAATTAATAGTGAAATAATCTAAAAGACTAAGAAGTGGTCAATGTACTTTGCAATAAGACGATGTCGCCTGCAACAGCGATTGATCGCAATTCTTTTTTCCATAAGGAGACGGAGAAAAAGGGTTGAGTGTCATCGCCCACCTGAATGTCCGTCCTGATTATTTCTCCTCCTCTGGATAATTTATACTTTAGTTTCACCCACGCGGAACACGGAGAAGTTAAAAATCACAATTATTGAAGAAAAAGGACAAAATGCAGACCACACAGTGGAACAGAAAGAGAGATTAGAGAAACCTGAACAGGAGTGGAACGGTGAACGAAAACGAGAAGCTGGACGAAGTGACCCATGTGATGAGAAGCTTCTGAGAGATTGATCAACGGTCCGTAACACGATGTCATTGCTTCTCAACCTCGTCAGCCTTATGCCCGAGATTAAGTAACCTTAAACCTTCATTTTCTTTAATCGAGGTTTAGATTTGGCAACGATTCAGTAGGGCTTTTTTACCCAAATAAAAAATAAATGTGTCAGGTAAAAATTGTCTTCGAAAATGTTTCCCTCAAATAATTTATGTCAACATAACGAAAATATAGTCTAAAATAAATAAATATATATATATATATATAATTATACGAATTTTATCTAAAAATGATCATTATACGATGTGCGTGTAAAAATATTTACTTGTATGAATATAAATAGAAACGAGCGACGATGATGACATATATACATTAATTTTATTATCTATCACGGTATATCTATAAGATTATATTTAAACACTTCAATTAAGTTTAAACTTTCATTTTCTTTAATTGAATATTGAATTTGACGAAGATTTAAGTTTTTTTACCTAAATAGAAAAAACTTAACACATTTTTGTGTCTCATCTTCTACCTGCGTGACGGTTGTATGAACCCGTGTATGATTGAAATAAAAAAATAAGGAGATAAAAATAATATATATATTATCTAAAAAGAATAAACACACACTACATGTCGAAGACTATTGAAATGAATTTGATTAAATTTAAGACTTACCTTTACCAGTTAAAAACTAATATATTTTATTATAACCTTCTCAAATCTTACATTTATTTAGATACGTGACTTTTAATTATATTTAAATATAATTTTTAAACATATATTAATTAGATGATTGAAGACATTATATACAATAATAATAATAAAAGAAACACTATACGAAAGAAGAGAAAGCGTTATTCAAGGAAAGGGTAGAGAAGAAAGTTATAATAACATAAACATCAATGCCTGATAAAAAACAAAGAATCTGGAAAGAAAGTAAATTAGCCACCCAAACTCCCAAAAAACATTCGGGCTGCAGTCCAGGAATACAAGCATTGAACCGATTCCTAAGCTCGGTCTCGAATAGTTTTGAGTAGATACTAGAGGAACATTAGTTGGAACTTGCCGATAAAAACACGGGCCAATTCATTAACAGCAGCACACGGCTACTTCAAAAACCCAAAAACAAACCCACCAGACCCCAACCCACACTGTAATATCTACAAGACTGCACCTCCCTAGTCCCGCCACATTAGCTATACACTACTTCCTTGTCTACAACAGAACCTCTACATTCCATAAAAGGGTCTGTTACCTATGTCTATACCTCAGTTCGTTTAACACTTGGTCGCCCTTATCCAAAACACGAGTTACTTCAAATATGAACTCATGTATAAGCGTATCCCAATCTCAAGGGGTCCATCATCACCACCAATTGCGTACAGCGCGACAGGAATTGTTGAAAGCATGCACACCGTTAAAGGAAAAGTTTCGGGATCAACCCAAGACTTTGAGGTTGCCTCTACCTCACCCTTCGTCATGCATGTCACATCAATGTCACTGATACTATCTGTTTCCATACTTAGATCGTAAGGATTTACAACCCATGCAGCGTTTCCAAGAGACATGTAATTCCCAGGGCCATCTCTCTTGAACAAACGTTTGTGGCCAGAAAAACTAAGCACCAGCGTTGAGGTAGACTCCAGCCATTCTACAGTTAACCCTTCAACTTCATCGTAGTATATTCTCCTCTCAATCTGAAAGTGCAGAAACATGAGCACCAAAAACCATGCAAAATATGATGGAATTATATGAATACAAAATAAATCACTTACAGCCAGTTTCTGAATATAAACAGACATAAATCTTGGGCCCAATCCCAACACTCTAGCATCAGACAATAAAATCTGAGAAAACAAACAAAAGGGGGGGGGGGTTGAAACATCAGTCACAAAAGCAATCTCAACCACAACAAAATGGAATAAGCATAAAAGGAAACAATCACTAAACATCCACATCTTCATATGTTTAACAACTACAAGATTGAGGCCAACAAATAATGAACAGGATGTTCTATACAAGCAAAAGTGATGTGCAATGATAATAGATGCCAACAATCAGTAATAACTTTTTTTTTTTGATAAGAAACAATCAGTAATAACTAAATTTCTTGGAACTGCACCCGGGAAGATTAGAGCAGGACCATTTTCTTGAGTAATCAAAGCGCACAAGATAATAAGCAAACATAGACTTTAAGAATTGAACAGGAATAAAAAGTATAATTGCTAGGGAAGCTTATCATATGGGCCGAAATATTAATCTAAAGTGGTAGCCATTTATCCTACATATAAATAAAGCTATGTGGCATTTAAAGGAAAAGGCATAAACGGAAAAGTAAAAGCATACCTTCCTTTTCTTCAGCAAAACCCACATATAGAGTTTCTCACAGGCATTCTCGGCATGCCTACTGGCCAGCTTTCTCTCATTACAATATGCAGCAACATCACCAAGTAGTTCAGGGGATGCAGCATTTGACAAGGCATCCTTCCCTTGTGGAGAGACTGCAGCTTCCTTATCAAAATAAATACCAGAGAAACACTTGCTAGACACTTCCTCCCCATTGTTACCTTTAAGCTCCCTTCTATACTTCATATATAACTCCTCCGCTTCAATTACTGCAGCCAATGTCCGATGTACAATGATGTCTGGATAACGACGTAGAGGTGAAGTGAAATGTGTATAGAGAGGAACAGCCAACCCATAATGACTCCAATCATTCAAATTCTCTTTTAAGTTTCCACTGCAAAAATAACTAGCCAATTGCATTGGTTTTGAAGCATATGAGATGAGAATATCAAAAAGAACAGAATCATCCTTTAGTTTTTCCCTTAATTTTTCCAAAGATTGGTTAAGCTGACTGGAAGAGGAAGCATCCAATGCTAGACCATGTTTGCGACAAAAAGCTTCAAACTCTTTCAGCTTCCTCATATTAGGTTCAGGATGCCTTTGCAATAATGCGCTATGGGGAAAAGCTCTAGATATTACTTCTGCAGCTGTCATATTTGCCAAAAGCATGAACTCCTCAACAAGAAAATTTGAATCCATCCGCTCACTTAGACTGCTATCATATGGAACCCCATCTTCATCAAATAGGTAAACAACTTTAGTGCTTTCAAGCTGTAGAGCACCACTACTAAATCTTTTATCCTTCAAAGTCTTTGAAATTTCATGAAGACATTTAACAGATCTAATAACATCAGCCCATGCAAATCTTCCATGCAACTGTGGTAATCCTTCTAAAGTATTAGATTTCTCCAAATCAATTATCCCTTGAATGATGTCTTGTGCATGCTTATATGACAGCTTACAACAAGAGCCTATCACTGTACGGCCAATCCAACGATCCAAAACATCACCCATGCTGTTTAATTCCCAAAACATAGAAAAGGCAAACCTATCAACTCCAGGATTAAGTGAGCCAAGCTCTTCTGAAAGCAAAGATGGCAACATCTGTATCTTCCTTTGCAACAAGTACACACTGGTTGATCGAATCCGAGCTTCTACATCTAAGGCTGTGTTTGGTAACACAAAGTATGACACATCTGCAATGTGTACACCTACTCTAAAAGTGTCCTTGGATAATTTTTCAATAGATAAAGCATCATCAAGTTCGGATGTGGTGGAAGAGTCAATAGTAAACACACACAAATATCTAAGATCTTTTCTAGTTTGAAATTCCTTGGGCGGGATTTCCCAAGGAATACTTGGAAGACAAGAAAGAACCTGAGGAGGAAAATCAGCACAATGAATTGCATTTTGATATAGAATTGCATTGATTTGAGTTTCCAATTCACTGCCCCGTCCAAAAGAACGAGAGACACGAGCTCGTGGAAAAGGATTTTCAGCACTCCAATCTTCAATTTGGGCAGCAAGCAACTCCATCTCAACTATCACATCACCATCTGCCAACCTTCTCTGTATAGAGTCTGGTAAGTCTCTCACAAAAATGATCATTTTGGGAAATCTTGGATCAGTTGGGGTCAAAGTAACATATTCATTTCCAAAAATAGCAGAATTTTTCTTTGCATCTCTTTTATTAAGTTCTTGATGGGAAAACCACTGCTTAACATTAAGAAAACCGACAATAGCATCACGTCGAACAGACTTTTCAACAATTGCAACAACCTTTGCAGTAGGCCGTCTCAGAGGGTATCGACTAGTCATGGCAGCCAACATATCCACTGAATTTATGTCTTCATTCTGCCCAGGTAAAAGACCCACATGCGAAGACTCTGAACCATATTGTTGATGCCCATTAACATGGTTGTATGCTTCTGCTGTGGTCACTTGAGTTTCATCATAAACCCCTTTCTCAAGTGGCACTCCACTTGTACTGTTATCATACTCACAATCTGCATCTACTATACCTTTACCCTTGTAGCTATTATCAGCTACCCCATCAACTTCTTGGACTATGTTACAATCTTCTACCACTGTAGAATTGTTTGAGGACCCATTTGACCCTTTCATCTTGGTCCACAATCCTAAGGGATCAACCTTAATAACCACAGTATCTCCCTCAACCTATAAGACAGGATAAATATATTGGCAATTATTATACTCATCCCAATATAGACTAGTAGGCTAGCCTACATATAAAGAAACATTAGCATTTACAATAACATAAAGAACTAAACCCAGAGAATCTCATACTTACAGCTCTATTCTGTGAAGAAATTCCATTGACAAGAACATCCGTAGGTACCCCATCGATTTTGCAATATGCCTAGTGGTATATCAAAGTCTTCCATATCAGCATACAAGAATTATCATGTGAGTTTCGTCATAAATCAAATAAAAGTTTAGCAACCACAAACCTCAAGTCGATTGTGACCATTCACATGAAACAATGCTTTGAAAGCTTCCCCATTCTGCAAAAGAGTTAAACATCAAGGGAAACAATCGAGAAACAAACACAGAAATAAAACTGATGAACCTGCCACCTAAACCATATATATTCATCCAAAAAACCAATACAAATTACAGAGAATCAAGCACACAGTTATTACTAGTTTTTATTAGATGAGCAATTTGCATGTGAATTGTATTTTTTAAAATGTGATACTAT